AGTATCATGTGGGAGTGCACCACTAACGAAAACACGATACCCAACTTTCATTTGTATAAAGTGCAAAACACTGGACGTTGTCACCAGGGGGACCGCATCACACTTGTCCACTTTGCCTTTCCAATATTCAGCCAAAATTTATTCAGAGTCTGTAATGAGGAAGACTACCATCAGAGTCATGCCTCTTGATCTTTGTACTTACTCCTTCTAGACTCTTTACCCCTCCTTACTTTTGCTCAGTAAAAGGATAGACTTCGGGCTTTTCCATCCTCTTCCAGGCCAGTAATTTCCATGCTGGGTGTGGGTACTGTCCGCGGTGCTGAGAAACGCGGCTTAGGGAGGCGCGGATAGTCTATTCCTCTCCCTCCTCTCCAGCCTCAGGCACGTTCTAGCTCTCTTACCTGGTACTTCACTGTCATAAAACGGCTCTTTTATAATCCCAGCCTGCCCTTTGCGCTGGGAAGCGATTTTTTCTCCCTTGCGCCAGGACATTCTGGGAATGGAAAGTTTGGGAAAGGTTCTGTTTCCTCCTTCCTCACTCGGAAATTTGATTTTTTTTGTGTGCCAATTTTAGATAGTTAATTTTTATTCTGTTTAAGGGGCAAAATTCTTGTCCATAAATATAGTTCTGCAAAGATCATCTATATCTTTTTTTAAAAACATCTTCACTGGAGTATAATTGCTTTACAATGGTGTGTTCGTTTCTGCTGGAAATTTGATTTTTTGTTAGGCCAAAGAAACAGAGCTCATTGGGCTCCACAGCTTTAGGGCTGGCGGCGTGAGGAGTATTTGGACACTGGAGGAGATTGAAAGCCTTCCTAGGCCAACAGTTACCCTTTGCAAGTAATGCTGTTGTCCCAGGCTGATCCTCTACTTCTGGGTGGTGCCAATGGCTGGAGGCTTTCTAAGAAACAGATTTAAAACATGTTCTCCTTCAAATATGTTCTCTGTGCCTTCGTTGGCAGAGACCTTAACTCAGCCCCAACTCATCTTTTATAAAATCTCTTAGAGGTCAAAGGAATGGTGTGTGTGTGTGTGTGTGTGTGTGTGTGTGTGTGTGTGTGTCTGTGATAGGATGAGTGACTTTTCAAAGAAACCCAAGGGCTGCAATTTTGAAAACAGAGACATAAGGGAGAAACTCAAAAACACAAAGGAATATACATTCCTGATCAATTCTTTCGAAGTCCAAACTCCACTCTCCCCTGCCAACTCACAAGGAATAGTGGAAATCAGCCTTTTGCAAGCACTCTCTCCATTTGAAATGTCATTGCAGAAAAGGACAGGAAGCAGCTGACATTTCTTTGAGAATCTTTAGGAATAAAGAGGCCTCAGAGAAGACTAAGTTTATTTCTTCTTTAACAGATATTCCTTAATTTGCTTCTGGGAAGAATAAACCATAGACATCCAAAGTATGCACTAATTTTAATAACCTCCATGAAAGAGACGGATCCACTTACTCTCATTGGGCATCACCCACCTCCTAAGAATGATCTGAGGAAAAATACAGACTGCAGTTCAAGCCAATCACCATTCACCTTTCATCCATTTCGACAAACCTGAAAATGAGCAGGTACTATGCTTCCTGCAGTATCATCTCCTTCTTCTGGAAGACTTAAGTCCATCTCTCAGAGAAGCACATCTTCTTGTCTCTTTATTTTTCATAAATGTTCTATTATTTAGAGATTGTTGTCATAAAAGAAACAATGTGCAAGAAATATACAAAACAAATATTGTTAAAGAGTACCCTGAACAATTATGAATAATGTTATAGAGGAGAGTTGTATATACCCTGGAGGGCTAGAATCCATCTTCTCCGCAATTTCTTATCACTCTGAGCTTATTCTTTAAAGCAGCGGTCCCCAAACTTTTTGGCACCGGGACCGGCTTCGTGGAAGACAATTTTTCCACGGATGGGGGCGGGGAGCGGGGTGGGGAGGGAGGAGGGTTCAGGCGGTAATGCAAGTGATGGAGAGCGATGCCGGGAGGCAGATGAAGCTTCGCTCGCTCGCCTGCCACTCACCTCCTGCTGTGCGGCCCGGTTCCTAACAGGCCGAGTATCGGTCCTCGGCCCAGGGTTGGGGACTCCTGCTTTAAAGGAACTGTGCTTACTACAGGTGAGAAGGTAAATTGTGCCTTGAAGCTAGCGAAGTTGCAAGATTACAAATGAGGAGAAAATTCAAGGCACAGAAACTACTAGGTTCATTTATAGCATGTATCAAGCCTACTACTGTTTATGGTTTTTGAAACTGAACAGGAAAGCTATTAAAAAGCAGTGACTGTGTGTGGAGGTGCAGACTCCATTGAGAAGAGAAAGGTTTGATCACATTTCTTTCTTTTTCTTTTGAAAAGTTCATTTTTTACTAAGCTTTCTTCTTTTGTCTGCTCTGTGCTTTTTTTGCAATTATTAGGCAAGTCACTCATTGCTTTCTGACCATTTCAGCCCCACTGTGGATAACTAAGAAGTTTCACTGATGCAATTTTGTCCCCTTTATTAATTGACATTTATTAAGCACTACCATATGTCAGTTGTTGAAGCAGTATAAATACAAACTATCTAGCCATAACCTAGCCTATACAAGGGATAATATCTTTCTTTAAAAAAAAAATCATAGCTTAGACTAAGATGCAAAACTTTCAATAGCTTTTGAAAGGGAAAATTGCAAGTTTAGTTGTTTCTCAATTTTTTCTTGCAAAATAGTTTATTTGTGAGAGGCAATCTTCACTACACTCCCTGTGATTCAACTCAGAAAAATTTTTAAAAGATTTTGAGCACCTACCATGTGCTACATGCTGAGGCTTTCAGAGGTGAAGAAGATAATCAACGCTGTTGTATTTATGAAGCTGATACTTTAGTGGTAGGTTCTTTGAAGCACAACTAAATGATATAACTTAGAAATCTAGAATTAAAATCTAGTTTCCTCCTTTCAAAAACTCATTGAACACTAATGCTACACAGTTTTTATATTCTTCCATATATTTCTTTTGTTTGGACACACCAAGATTAGCTGTCAGTAAAACATTAATATTGTTTCTTGTAAAACTGCTCGCTTATTATATATTAAATAGATAGTAATACTAACACATGTAAATATATTGAATTCCATCACTATAGCTTTTATATCCAGATAAAAAGTACTGAGTAACACATGAAAATTTCAGAGACTATATCTTCCATTCAGTGTGTAATTTCTTCCTGCCAAAATTACAACCTAAACCTAAGCTTTGACTTAGAACACACTAAATTATCTTCAGTAGGACTAAAAATCACTATAAAGTAAAATTTCCAGTCTAAAATACTATACAATATTTCAGTTCCAGAGTCAAGAAATTTTCTAATTTGCATTTAATGCAAAGAAACATTTATCAAAATAGTCCCTTTGCAGAGTGTTTGGGCACTAAAGGAACACGAGAAAAAGCCCGCTTCCGCTTTTAGAATCAGTGCTTGTCAATGGGTTCTTCAAAGGCATGAGGAAATACATACAGACAAGAAAATCCCAGCTTCAAAGCAATGCAACCTCAGACACATTCAGACCAAATTGCTCTTTCCACCCTGCTGGCATACATAGGCAGGTATTATTACACCCTATCAATACGTTAGAGACAGTTGTTTAAAGACACATGTTAGCATGTGAAATGTATTTCAAGGCTGGAAGGGATCTGGAGTCATCCAGTTTAACGCCTCATTGTTAGAGTTAAACTGAGGTCCAAAGAGGGGAAGTGACTTATGCAAGGTGACCTAATTGGCAAGTGGCAGAACTGACCACCAGAAGTCAGGTTTTCTCAAACTTGATGTACCCAGTAGGTTTGACTGAGCATAAAAGAATCGCTTGGGGTACTTAAAAACACAGGTCTCTGTGTCCCATCCCCAGATATTCTATTTGGGTAAGCTGGGACGGCACCTAGGATTTACTGTTGATGATGATACAACTGGTCTGAGAATCACACTTGAAGAAGTACTACAAAAATCCTTTAACTATTTCCCAAATAATACGGTAGAATGGTGTGAAAATTTAAAGCAAAGCTTTTAAGCCATTGTTACTCTCCCCACTGTTTCTCATATTCGTGTGTTCGTGTAAAATGCACAACCAATGAAAGTAAACATCTGTTGACCTGACTTGGATTATCACAATGAGCCCCTGCGATGGGTTGGAAATCTGGGAATCTGATCATTCTTTCAGCACAAGTTTATCCAGATAATATATTTCTAAGGGCAGTGAGAGGACTATTTCATTCCAAGAAATATTTGAAACTACAAAATTGTGTAACCCTTAAAGTTTTTTTAAACATAATTAAAATTCTCACATCTGTTGAAGATTTGATGTTTAATAATGCATTCCTCTATTCATTCAATGAATATTTACTGAATATCTACCAGCCAGGCTTTTAATTAACATCTATCGCATCTTAAGGGTCTTCAAAATGTCTCCAAAAGCAGACTTGACAATCAACTGGAGAACGACACTGCACGTTGCAGGAGTTAGATGGGGAGTTCTACTCTCCACGGCAGCATTGATGATTACAATAAAGCATACAGAAATATTTTGATTTTACACTTTGAACTTTAATATTTATAACTATTTTAATAGGCTCCTGAATTAAAGAAAATCTCCACAGGCAAAATAACAAAGCAGTAATTAGAATCATAGTTCCCTGAAATAGAAAATGACCTTTGCAACAGGAATAAAGACGCAGACATAGAGAATGGACTTGAGGATATGGGGAAGGGGAAGGGGAAGCTGGGACGAAGTGAGAGAGTGGCATGGACGTATATATACTACCAAACGTAAAATAGATAGCTAGTGGGAAGCAGCCGCATAACACAGGGAGATCAGCTCGATGCTTGGTGACCACCTAGAGGGGTGGGATAGGGAGGGTGGGAGGGAGGCACCAGAGGGAGGGGATATGGGGATATAAGTATATGTATAGCTGATTCACTTTGTTATACAGCAGCAACTAACACAACATTGTAAAGCAATTATACTCCAATAAAGGTATTAATTCAATTCTGACAGACTTGTGTTTCACAACGAGTGATATATACTCCTTTAGGAATTCTCTAGAGCAAATAACAAAAGTATTTAGGAAGGTTGAATGAAGCAGGTCCCGAATTTTCATTAACTCTGATGAAATGTGACAGGTTATTGATTTTTAACTCAACTGAGAGTATGGGATTATCATCTCTAAATCAAAGATGACCCCAGAAGATCTACCATTATGCTTTGGGGTATGTATTAACATGCTGTCATTTCAGATTATTTTGATTTATTTGTTGACCCTCCATCTTGTTCTAGAAAGGATTCAAGGCTGTTATCTTGAATTAAGGTTTACTTTTCAGACTTTTTCAGATGAAATGAAAGAAGTAGTTGGATTTCCATCAACAGATTCTCAAGTTGACAGATCAGGTTCAGTGCATGGCTTCACTTTAATTTCTGGAGGGCACTGCAAAGGATTCCAACTTCACCTACAAAGAAAAACAAAGGAGCCACTCATACCATGAACAAACACCCTTCAAGTGTCCACAGTGTGTGAAACGCTAGGGGATCAGTGGGGTGTGTGGATATACTAGGTACCACCACAACTTTCAAGGAGCTGGCGTCCTAGGATTTGGGCTGTTACAGGCGATTCCAAGTTGTAGGAGGCACTAGAGCTATTAATGTAATTAGTTTCCCTTTTCCATAGGCTGTTTCTCAGGGAGGGAGTTACTCGTTTTCTCCCCGGGAAATCACTAGCTGTTCTGTTTCTCTTTTACATGACCAACCATAGATGCTTGCAAGGAGCTAAGCCATAGAACCTAAGCCACACAAACCCGCTGTGTTGGAATCACCTGGGGCCTTATTACAAATACAAACTCCTGAGTCATATCACGCATTCAGTGAATTTAGTCTGGGGATATGACTCAGGACTATTAATTTCTAACTAGCTCTCCAAATGATTTCTAGCTCTCCAAGTGATTCTAAGGGACACGAGGTTTGAGAAGGCATGGTCCAAGCAGGTAAGTCAGCCTAGATTGCCAGACCACTGGACTAAGGAGGGTACGATGGAGTTGCTTCCATTCATGACATGTTCTCACATGCCAAGGGGCCACAGGGACATAGACTCTTCACAGAAGTGGAAGGGGCCTTGGAGACACAACAGCTTCCCTCCTTCCTAGATCCTGAGGAAGGTGCAGAGCGGTGATGGGGCCTTATATTAGGTCACGTAGCTCTAAGGACCCTTCAGTTCCTAAATTTGTTGTTCTGTGATTTTAAAAATTTCCTTATAAACAATAGTCTATGGAGTTATTTTTGCTTCCTCGGGGGAAATGAGAGAGAGAGAGAAAACAGCTACGGCCTGACCCTTCTATCTCACACCCCAGCCTCCAGAGCCCTTGGCTGGCCTCTTTGGTGAGCAGATCTGTTCCAGCCGAGTGTCCAAACGGTGTCTATGGGGGAGAATCAGCCTTGGGCTTTTTCAAGATGGCTGATTGCAGGGGCCATACCTAAGGAGGAATGACTATAATGGGCTAGCTCTACGTCTTAGAAGTGGCCTCAGGCAACATAAGAGGGGTATGAGAGGGATACTTCAAGCCCACCTGCCCTTTTGGCCTTCGTTAGCATTGTTTGAGATAGAAACCTCCACTTGGCCTAGAGCTCCTCCCTTTAGGCTTGATCCTTTGGTGGTTTTAGCCATTTATTCAATAGCTCTTGAGTACCTAATATGATTTTTAGGAATAGGGCTAACTGCTAGGGGTTTGACAGCAAACCTGACACAGTTCTCTGCTCAGGTCTAGTTGGGGAGACAAGTAAACAATTACCAAATTATAAAAAAAATATAATGATAAATGCTCTGAGAGAGGGATCTGTGGGAATGCCAAGATGTAGGAGGGACACCCAAACCAGTCTTTTATCAGAAGAGATATCTATGAACGATTAAAAGATGAACTGGGGTTGGGACTGCTAAATGAGAGTGGTAGGGAGACTATTTTAAACAAGAACTGTATGGGCGAAGGCCAGGGCCCAGGGGAAAGCATGGTGGGTGTTGCTGGAGGGGAGTCTGAAGGCTAGAAAAAAATCGGGCGATGAACAAATAACACTGTGATTTTTTTAAGAGCAACTATGATAACATCCTCATTATCCAGGAAGAATAAAAGTCAATAGATGAGCTACTCTATGGTTGATAAAGTAGATAGAACCTATTCCTTAGGGGTTGGTATTCCAGGCAGAGCAAGATCCAGTGGACACTTAGAGAGAAAGGGGTAAAGATACAAAGGAGAAAGAAGGACGTGGCAGCGACAAGCCAGAGTGGAAAAGTGGTGTGATGGTAGGAGGTGGGGTGGAATCTAGGAAGGTCAAAGGAGAAAGGACACGCAAGGCAATGCTGGCCTTTTTGCCAAGTTTTTCTCTTGCAGTAAATCAGTGACTTCCCTGGAGATGCTTTTCTTCTTAATTAAAGATTTAATACATCTCTTATCGTTCCTATGGTGAAGGTAAGAAGACACAATCCTCTAGTTATGGGAGAATGGCCTCAAAGGGTGTAAATTACTTACTATTGATGGAGTCAGCCAAAATCGTAAGTTGCTGGGTATTGTCCAAGACCTCAATCCTCTGGGCGTATGGGTCATAACGAACTGAGAAGGGCCGTGGGATTATAGCAGCAAAGTTCCTGAAACCAAACCCATAGATCTAAGTGAAGGGTACCATCTGGGGAAAAATAATTTTAAAAGGTTTTTCCGTTGCATTTCACTTGGCTCTTGGTAGCACTGAAACCTCACTAGAACAGGGGCTTTAGAACCAGGCTGAGAAGTGAAATGGAACTTTAGTGAGGTCCTCTTGGGAAGCCAGCGCATTTGTGGGCTAGCATTTTGCCTTTGCTCACCTAAGCCCAGTGCGTTGAAAGCTGACATGCCCAGCTTCACAGGATCCCAGAGGCCTATACGACTCACACTTATTACCCATCACTGATAAGGTATAAAACAAGTGGTAAAAAATGGCATCATGGTTGCCCTGTGCTGGTAGACCCTCTGCCTGGCCTGCCTCCTGCTGGGAGCAGAGTGGCTCGAGCAGGTTGATGGCAGGGCCATCATCGCGGAGGCCTGAGAGTCTTAGAGTCCTGGTACCACTCCATCAGCCTCTTGCTGAGCTGGCTCTGAGACTGGCACATTCGCTAATTCCTTACTGAGGGCCTACTATGTGTCAGGCGCTGTGCTAGGGTCAGGGAAACAGCAGGAAACAGAAAGGACCAAAATCCCTACCCTCGTGGACCTTAAATCATACAAGAGTTTAGACATTAATAAGTGCTAAGGAGGGGGCTTCCCAGGTGGCGCAGTGGTTGAGAGTCCGCCTGCCGGTGCAGGGGACACAGGTTCGTGCCCCGGTCCGGGAAGATCCCACATGCCGCGGAGCGGCTGCGCCCGTGAGCCATGGCCGCTGAGCCTGCGTGTCCGGAACCTGTGCTCCGCAACGGGAGAGGCCACAGCGGTGAGAGGCCCACGTACCGCCAAAAAAAAAAAAAAAAAAAAAAAAAAAATGCTAAGGAGAAAAATAAATCACAGAAGGGGATAAGGAGTGCTGGCGGGAAAGGGCTGGTCGTGACTGTAAATAAGCTGGTTAGAGAAAGACACACAGAGAAGGTTAAATGCCGGTGAAGATTGGAAGGAGGGGAGGGGGCGAGTTATGCAAGTATCTAGGAGAATGAAGCAACAGGGACTTCCCCAGGTTAGAAGCCTTCTAGCGCTGCTCGGTGTGGGTACCTCTGTGGCCGCCCTGTACATAGGAGAGTTCAGGTGTGGACTGGGGGTCGGCAATGAGCAAGGATCGGCTGGCAGGCTTGTCTGCAGGGCTCGGCACAGTTCAGCCAATAGGCTATGAAATAGGGTCCCGTGAAGGAAAGAGCTTCTCTCAACAGAGAGTGGAAAGACACAAAGGTGGGGAGGCTGGGGGATAACGTGGTCTGATGCATGCCCTTGCTGTAGTCATTGGAGTCCACTCTCCAAGCTACCCACAGATCAGGGGCAACAGGACAAATCAGGAGGGTCCCAAGAGCCGTTGACCCACCTTGGTCGTCACCTCACCTCACTTTCTCCTTGGCATCATTAAAACTCTCAGCCACGTAATACAGGGGCTGGAACTCTGTGATTGTGTACTGCTGGAGAGCGGTCTTCTCCAGTTCCAGAGGAAGGAGCTTCGGCTTGCCTGACAAGCAATACTGCAGGTCCCAGATGGAAAGTTCTCATGGTTAAATCAGGGCTGGTGGTCCCTGCCGCATCCCAGAGGCCATTGGTGCACCCCCTCCCATCTCATCCTGATTCCTTCCACACCCCAGCCCACATGCAGTCAACTGAATTATTAGGCATATACTAGATAACCTTTATAGCTCATCTAAAGCCAGCAGTCAAGATAGAAAGGAGTATTTTACCCAACCATTTTCAAGTAAGGTGATCAATAGACAACGTGGGGGCCAACCACATTTTCCGGCATGTGTTTGCATATATCCCAGTGTACAGGTCAACCTTGGGCTCAGGAGGCCCCTCTGCACTGGAGACCTGTGTACTACCTCTAACACCCACAGTCGTGACCAAATCATAGCCGCTAAGAGATCAATCACTTGAGGAGAAGCCCCCAGGTTGAATTTCAAAGTGAATACAAATGGGTTTCAACAGCGCAAAGAGAAAAAGGATGGTCTGCTGCACCCACCACTTTCAGATCCATCCTTGGTTTCTGTTAGGGTCATACCTGTAATTCACCAAAGGACGACAGGAGCCCAGCACCATATGCCTTTATGGAGTCTCCTTCCTTGCAGAGCCCAAACTCCACAGTAAACCAGTAAATCTGAAATGGAACGTCAAGTTGAGAGCATACCTCGAGGAAGGGAAAGGCAGCAGATGACCCAGGGCCAAGGACAGGACTGCCCAGGTGGGAGTTTGCGCAGGTCTGTTCTCTGAATCAGCATGACCTGGGCTCATGGTTTTGTGTCTGTCCTATGTCTTACCCTATCCAGTCACCTGTTGAATCAAGAGTTGGCTGAATGCAAGATGGGATGGGATGCAGTGGAGGAGTACTGAGGAAGCCCCCAGAAGATACTCCCAGCAAGCAACTCTCTCTGTGACAGGAACTCCTCCGCCCCTTTTGCCTTCTCCATGGCATCAACTAGAGTGAGATGCTCCCCTAAGTTGGTTGGAGTTACCAGACAATCCCGTCAGGCTCCACGGGGGAGGTAGGGGATTGGGTCATGATAGAATCGGTGAGGGGGCATCTTATCATCTGTGTGGCTGAACCACACTGACTCCATTCTGTCAGCTCCATCTAAGCCTGCGGTCCTAACCCCTCCCCTTTCTGCAAGGCTGAGCTTTAGCCTATTCACAAGGAATGCACCAGACAAGTTCTCGTCTACTTTTACCCTTGCCTGATAGAAAAACTTCACCTGATATGAAAAATTTTGCTGACGCAGACGGTTAATGGCTCACAAGGAATAATGGTCATGAGACCCCCTGAGGGGATGAAGAAACCCTGGCTCCTGACGGAGCGGACATGCTTCTCCCTAATAGTCAGATTCTATCTTTAGTTTTGGTCCTTTAAATCCCCCTGTACCCTTCTCGTGGCGCAGAGTGAGGCTGCAAATGCCTTTGGGCTGTTGTCCTCCTGGCCCTGCCTGTGTGTAAGTTACCCACAATAAACTTCATCATTGCATTTTATGGAGTTTCCTGCTTCCTTTTTTGGCCTCAAAGTTCCTTCTCAGTTCGGAGGTTATTATTTAATATCCCCACCATCCAACAATCTGTGTTAAAACCCTGTCAGTCACTGCACTTATCCTCCCCAAAAACCAAATCCTTTTCTTTCAATAGCTCCCAGTGCAACGCGCCCTAGGTAAATGGCCTGGGCAATAAGGTCCTGGAAGTCTGGCATCACCCTACTGAATAGGGCCAAGAGAAAGCCAAGGCCCAGTTAGTGCTAGAGATTGTCACAGTCTTGGAGAATTAGCTGTGGGTTTCTAGTTAAGTCCGTTGATTGCACTAGAGAATGCTAAACCTGTGAAGGCTGTCAGAACTTAGTCTGACCTCCGCACATACAGATGAGAAGTCTTTAGCCCAGAGAGGTCAAGCTACATGCATACAGTGGCACAGCATCTCAAGGGCAGAGCAAGGAGCCCAAGACTGTTTCCAGCTCAGTATATCAATAATAAGATTTTTTTTTGAGAAGCTATGTTGGTAATGAGTACTTTTATCATTGTTACAGCAAGTAACGTGATGCTCTGCATTTGAGTTTCTTTTTTTCTTCCAAGTGAGAGATTCTATCAAGCGCTGCAGTTTTCTTTGAAAGTTGCTTTTTGTATCACTACAGCATCTGGCATTTAAAAACTCATATTCACACAAGTTTAACTCTTCAGACCCTCAAGATGATCATGATATACTTTTGAGATGGGCAGAATATAAACGATTGTGTCTATTTTTAGAGATGAGGAAGCAAAAGCCACTTGCCCAGGGTCTCAGAGCAGCTGGTCAGTGAGAAAGGATCGGAGTTTTGGGCCTTCTGATAAACTGAATTCATAAACTTCTAAACTGATACATCTTCATGATATATTTGCATTCATCTGCGGTCCCTAATTCCATTATAAAGTTTTATTTCTCATCTTCCCAGCTGAGCACATTATAAGAAATGTGGCTTAGAGGCTGGGGAGGGATGCACGCAAGTTGGAAAGGGGTCTGTAGGAAGGAAAGGCCTGCTGTGCAGAGTCACTGCCTCCATGGCTTCAGTGGATGAGCCATCACATCCACTGGGGAAGGAAGTGTTCAGTTAGAAGGGGAAAGCCCACCCCCTTTTCTACCTGGTGTCTGAGAAAGGAAAGATCTTAACGCTGGCTCCAGTGTAAAGGCAGAGAGTAAATATTCCCTCTTCAAAGCTGTGACTCCAGCTTCCCACCCACTTAAGGGGGTTCTCAAGGACTATCATTATAGCCTGTTGGTGTTTTCAAGACACTGTTTAAAATTAAATGTCTGCATACAGTTGATTTCACAATCGAACCATTAAGAAGTCAAAATGTGAAATGTCACTTGTGCAAACGTAACCCAGGGCATTCTGATTTTTTTCCGCAAATGACCTGGCTTTCAGGGAAGGAGCAAAGCTTCAAAGACCTGAGGCCCTGACACCATCCACCAGGAAGAGAGAGAACTTACTGTTGCGAGTTTCTCAATGTACTCGTCGGGGGCACCCAGAGAGGCGAGGCCGATTTCCTGTAATTGTGGAGAAACAAAGTCACTGGCATGGCTGGGGTCTGCCTATCTTCAACCTCTACCCTCGGGTCCGACCTCGTACTTGACCACAGGAAAGGGATGGGTGGCTAGATGCCTTCAGAAGGGCCCAGATAGACTCTCAATTGTTCTGTCAAATCTTCCTTGACCACATTTCATAAAATCACAGATCTCTAGAATGGGGGAAGCCTTTATCCATCACTTGGTCCTTTGTATTCACTTTGCAAAAGAGAAAACAGAGGCACGGAGAAGGGAGACGACCTGCTCAAGGTCAGGCGATAGGTGGCATCTAACGTTTCATGTCCTGATTATTCTTCCATAGTTCAAGTGGAACATTCCTGGAGCACTAGATGAGACTTAATCATGTACCCTGAACACACCACAGGAGACTTGCAGAGAAGCGCTTGACATCTGTCCAGGTATATACATAGCTGGAGAGTCTGAGATGTCAGGGACCACCTCTCATCACAGCTCCAAATCCAGGATCCCCTAGTGGTCTCTGTCTCTTTCACAGCATTTGCTCCAGCCTACCTTGTATCAGACATACCGTATATATACAAATATATATGTTTCTTTCCTACTATATGCATTTATTCATTCCAAAAATATTTATCAAATGCCTCCTATGTGGCAGGCAGTGTACTCAATGGTAAAGATCCTTGACCTTGTAAATAGTGTCTAAGTGGATAGCGAAAGACAGAAATAATAAGCATATACATAGGTATGTTACAAGGTGGTAAGTTCTTTGGAAAGAAGAAACAAAAGGAGGAAGGGACAAGGGGGAACCCGGAGCACCAGGAAAGCGGGGGTGGGGTGGGGAGGCTGGGATTTTAAATAAGCTTCCAGGGTGAGCATCATTGGGAAGGCGATACCTGAGCAAAGACTTGATGGAAGAGAGGTTGTTGGCATTGCTGATATTTGAGGGAAGAGAACTGTGCAGGCCAAGTCTACAGCCGTGGAAAAGCTCGTGAAGGAGGGGCAATGCCGGTTGGTTCAAACAACGGGGAAGGACCACTGTGGCTAGAGCAGAGTAAGGGGTAGGGGTGGCAGGTGACAGCAAAGAGCGATCTGCAGCTCAATCATGTAGGAATTCCTTGGCCGTTTTAGGGCTTAGAATTCTCCTCTCTACAACATGGGGAGCCAAGGCAGGGTTTTGAACAGAAGGGTGGCAAGATCTGATTTGTGCCGTCAAAGATTCACTCTGACTGCTGTGTGAGAGTTGACTGTAGGGGGTCAAGTGTAGAGGCATAAAGACCAGTTAGGAGGCTACTGCAGTCACCAGCATGAGAAGCGATAGGGCTGAGATGAAATTGGTAGCAGTGGACGTGATGGGCAATGGTCAGATTCTACATATTTTGGAGGTCAAACACAGAATTTTATGCAAGATTGATTGTGGGGTATGTCCGAGAGGAGTCAATAATGCTTTAGGTTTGAGTGACTGGAAGGATGGAGTTGCCATGAACTAATACAGGAAGAGCTGTGGGTGGAGAAGGTTTGAGTGGTAAGATCAGGAATTGCATTTTGGACAGGATGAATAGAGATGTCCATCGGACATCCAAGCAGAGATATTGAGTAGATGACTGGATGTGTAAGTCTCAGTTTTGGGACTGAAGTCTGGGCTAGATATATAAATGTGTTCATCATCAGAATGGAGATGGTACTTAAAGCCATGAGATTGGATGGTACTTAAAGCAGACAGAGAGAAGGACCAAGGACCGGGCCCCCTTGGATGCAAGAGGGTACATGGTCTTCATCTCTGTATCCCTCCCTGGTCAAGCCCATTACATGCAAAGAAAATGCTGTCTGATTTAGAGTGAATCAAATTCAGACACTGACTTAGCCTGGCTCCATTCTCCTGCCCCTTCCCCATCTGTGTTCCATCCACCCAGCTCAGACATGCCACGGTCCTGAATCGAACAGAAGTCATAGACAAATGCAAGGTTGAAAGAGTGCCCTGTTCTCATAGTCACCATTCTTTGTGAGCCCAGATCTTGCCTAATACAAGGGGTCCAAATTGCTTCATCCCCACTCCATCCTGCACTCCAGTGTCCTGCTTTTAGATCAAAAAGGAATATGCTCAGGGAACTCAAAATGACTCCCTGCCTTGGAACTGTCCAGGTCAAAGTTGGAACCGTGAACACTGATGACCCAGTAGCTTCTGTCTGCTGACTCAGGTAATTGTCCTGTCATCTGTGGGGAGTCCCCAAAATGGAACCGGCTTGGGGAGAATGGCCACTTGGCCTCTGATTGGGCAGAATAACTCTGGTGATGAGAATTAAAAGTTCCTATTCCCTGAGGAAAAAACTGATCTTCCTTTGGCCATGTTAACAAATCCTGGTTTGAAAGCTATCCCAAGCAATCAATGACATCTTAGCAGCAGGAACCGCACTTCTGAAAGTCAGCTGAAAGTCCCATGGTGACGCTTCCATGGTTAAAGTTCACCTAATTTCTAAACACTCCCACTTCTAAAAGTCCAACAATCTCTGAACTTCACAATCCCCCCAAACCCACATCAAAGCAATCATTGTCTTTGTTTTGAGAGGCTGTGTCTAACAAGCGCAGTTTTCCCTTGGTTAGCAAGCAGTTAATTCTGCTGTTTGTTAGTTTGTTTCAGCTACTCAGTGGCAGCCTCTTCATTCAAGAGTGCAAATAGTTATTCCTTTCTACTGAGGGGAAATGCTTGTGAAATTCACACACACGTGGCCCAGCCCTTGCTCATGGGTCATTCCGTTTGATCCTTATTCTTCCTTGTGAGGAAGAAAACTGTCAGGGAGGGCTTTTATAGATCCACGTCTCTGTGATCCAGGCACAGGGTGGGCTGGCAACGTGCCCCCCAGCAGCACCGTTCAACTCTCCCATGATCGCAGTTACCCAGCCATGGTTTGGGGCCGCCTCTCGGTGCCAGGAGAGACTTACTAGGATCCTTTCACTCATCCAAAACGCACTTTCGAGCCTACTCACCACTGCGCTAGATGAATCAAAGCCTAGCCTGCTGCTCTGATGATGGTGACGAGGCAACTGGCTCTTTATTTTTTGTCAGCTATGAGTCAGGCTATGGGCATTGGATTCTTGTCAAATGCCATCTTACTTAATGAAAGCATATACAAAACTGACTGCCTGACAGGGTAGAAAGTGGCAAAGGCCCTAAAGAGGACGGGAAAAAAATGCCCGGAGAACTTGAAAGATGGTAAGGTTACTTCTGCATAGGGATCAGGGAGGTTGTCACGGATGAAAAGGCTCTTAAACTACACCTGGTAGGACAAGTGAGATTAGCTAAGTCAATAACACACAATTCAGAGGATGACTGAGTCACCAATTCCATGCTGTGGTCCCTGGGATTGGCAATTGGCCAGCTCCATGGGACCACATACCCATCTGTGATGGGATCACAGAACTGTACCTGGTTTCTACCCTTGCAGAGGACATGAAGGCCCCTGCATGGATTCAATTTATCTTGAGCAGTCCAGGTCTCACCCCTGTAAGTAGAAGGCTAGAGAGATCAGTTCCTCACCTGCGAAAACTGGGCAAAGCTGCGATCTGAAAACAAGGGTACATGTCCCAACAGCTCATGGCAGATGTCACTGAAAAACAGAAAGCACAGAGCTTGGAGGGGAGGAGGGTTATAAGCCATAACAGACTCAGTCTTTCTATGTGAGGAATGGGTGGAAGAAAGGAAGCAACTCATTCAGTCTCACAAACTCATTCCTAAGAATAAGTGGTGTGTAAAGCTTGCTATCAGTTGAGACAAGGTACAAGAGAAAAGGGAGAAGGGGAAAGAAAAGTAAGGGACAGGGCAGGGCACGGCAGCCAGGGGGTCTTCAGTGTACGCCCAGTGGGATGCAGAACAAAAGAGGCAATATTCCTGTGAGCATCCTCCCATACGCCTGCGCGAGCTGAGGATCACAACCACTTCCCATCCCAAGTCTTCTCGTTGGTATTGACATCCCTGGGCAGATACAATATGCTCAGTTAGTTATTCCTCATGGGAACTAAATAATAATAGTAATAAAAATAATAGAGTCCTCTCTTATTCTGGAGAGGGCAGCCGTTGGTCAGAGAAGAAAACTTAACATTTATTTAACACTTTCGGCACCAGGTTTATTAGGAACAGGTCTTTTCTGGTTTATAGTAATGAACTTTGCAGGCTGGGAAAGATCATTTGGGGCATCCTGCTGACTTTTCATGTCAATTGCTTAAGTTCTATTTGACTAAGAAGATGGCTAAAAGCATGGTGGCCAGCCATTCACTACCTCCAGCCAAGACACAATCTAGGCAAAGAGAGACTAGAATCATCTAGGTGTGATTCAGGAATGAGGAGGTGTTGAGACAGCCTGGCCGTCACTTGTTCCTGTTCCCCTTGGGCACTCCACAGCTCTGACTTCTACCGTCTCTTTGGAATTTGAATGTGAGCTCTCATTCTCTCATTCAGAGGAGATCTGAACCTTTGAGTCACAAGACACCTAAATCTCCAATCAGTACAATCTATTCGGACAGAGAAAATCCCCAGAAGAGATGAGTTTCCCTTGTCGTACTGTCGTCATCCAGGCAACTGGTCCCATGGACCAGCCCACAGTGTACCTGGAGCGGGGAGAGATGGCACTCACTGTGGCTGGCCACCGATAGCAGAAGGACGATACTCACGGTTCAGGTGTATACATGGGCTTGGACCCATGTCTGATGTACTGAGTGCAGTGGAAGACTCGAAAGGCCAGGCCACCCAAGAAATCCCGAGAGGAAAGCAGGCCAGCCACAGGTCGGAGGCGGAAGCCAGTACAAGCTGGGAAGCAAAGGAGAAAGAAAACTGAAAGCCCATCACAGGGAGTCAAAAGGGCCTGAAGACCTTTAGGGAGGGAACCAGTACACTCAACTGTCCAGGAGCATGGGTGTCGATGCCAAGCAGACTTGGCTTCAAATCTATGCCCCAGTACTTTCTAGCTGGGTGATTTGAGTCAAGGAGTTTCACTTCTCTGAGCCTCAGTTTTCTCATCTGCAAAGTGGGGGTAGATACTTCTTAGGGTTAGTCTGAGAATCAGAAGAGCTAATAAATATAAAATACTTAGAGCCTAGCACATTGGAAACATCCAATAAATTTAGCTTTCATTATTGTTTGTTAGGGTGGAATGCTTATTCCCTACTTCTCATGTTTCCAGAGTGGGGAATTCCCACTCTCCTTCCCAAGACGGAAGAATATGAAAGGAACACTTCTAGCTTCTCTATATGTGCTTCACACAGGACACCCCATGAGGAGCGGTGACTTCTCTGATTGAAGGATTTGAGAGGAGGAAATGAATATTCTCAATGTAACCCTCTCTGCCCTTTCTCTCTTCACGATCCACACAGGAGCTCATTCTGGTCTGCTCTTGGCCAGGCAATGGACTACACACTGCACCAATGAATTGGCGAGTAAGTTTACCTAATCCAGGGGTGAAATATTAGGAAATCCATTTTGCCTGCACCTCTATACCACATTCTCTAAGTAGCTTCTATCAGTAATACAGCTGACATTTTGATCACCCATCTCTCTGGTTCCTATATCTGTCTCTCAATTTGTTCCAAACCTGGAAGGAGAATAGTAATGACAGTGATCATGGTAATAATAGCTAACATTTTATAATACCTACCGCATGTCAGACACAGTTCTAAGCACTTTAGATATAAGAATTAATCCTCATCCTAACTCTAGGAGGTAGATGCTTTTATTATCTCCACTTTATAGATGGGGAAGCTGAGGCATACAGAGGTTAAGGCTCCTGCCCAAGGTCACAGCTACCGGCAGTCCGGCTTCAGAGTCTGTTTCCTTAATTGCTACTCTATACCTCCCCAGCTGCTAGTATTACTGCTGTATTCTTGTTATTGGCCATAGCAACGTGTGTAATTAGTCAAAGAACGTCTTTAAGACCCCTTTGTCCCTCCGATTACATGCCTTAGACCCTCAGGCTGAAGTTCATTCTGCTTGGGCCCCCGCTCCTCTCTTTATCTGAGAAGTAAAGACTCTAAATGGAAGGGATTCAAAAGGTCCTCTAGCCGCCCCCTCTCCCAATCTATCCTAGTTACCACTTCCCTCCCTGCCATGTAGCTTCCCTGGCTTTTTGCCCCAGAGCTGGCCATAGCATCTCTGCATAGTTCAGAGGCACGGAAAACTCTTTCTATAACCCTGTGATCTGTATCCCCACTTTCCCTCATTTTACCTGGCACGTAATAGGCGTTTAATATGTTTTGTCTGTTTATTTTGATTTTGCTGAGTCAACACCACCTGGCAGAAAGGAGAACACTTATCTCCCCTGGAAATGATGGGCAGGTCAACCCGATCACGAATTTACCCACTGAGTTACTCAGATTCCAACGAAGCCCAAATTCAATGAGCACCTGCCGTAACACTAGGTAACACTATGCTTTCACATTCAATATCTTATTTCATTCTCACAGTTTCCCTAGGAGAAAGGCTAAAAGGCTGACAGTCTCCATTTGACAGATGACTAAACTGAGGTAGTTTCTCCCAACTAGAGAGGATCAAAGCAAGATTCCAGATACCAGATGCATAGACTTAGAGCTCAGGTATCTCGGCACAAATCTCATTTTCTTACACAAACGCACACTGCAGCCAGCTCGTTAAAGTAGCAGGAGCTGCAGGAAGAACCCGGACGAGGCACCTTGGGCTTTGAGTGTTAAAAAATCCTTTCAGAGGGCTTCCCTGGTGGTGCAGTGGTTGAGAGTCCGCCTGCCGATGCAGGGGACACGGGTTCGTGCCCTGGTCCGGGAAGATCCCACATGCTGCAGAGGGGCTGGGCCCGTGAGCCATGGCCGCTGAGCCTGCGCATCCGGAGCCTGTGCAATCCCGGTTTTCCTGGGACAAGCAACCTGCCTGCATCAGCATGAACACACTCACCTCCATTTACTTTTCTTCCCCTCCCCATCCTCCCCACACCGACCTTTTGACCCTGATGTGGACTTACTCTGCAGAAACTGAGAAACCTCTTCGAGCTGGGGGATGTTATCTTCGCAGAAGCCACAGTACTTCTCCAGAAGTGGGAAAATGTGGTTGTGCTCGTAGCAAGCATGGGTTTTGTACAAGGACTTCAGGGTCCTGAACACTATCCCCCACGTTTTCTTTTCTTCCTCCGTGTATTCCACTCGAGGGATGGGCTGCCCACTAGGATACAGACACGAAATATTTGTCTGCTGCAGGGCAGGTGCAAGAGTAGAGGATGAAGGAGCCGTAGCAGAGGGAGACGGGTTCAGAGTCTGTGAGCTGCTGCCCCCGACCACAGTGGATTTCATATTTCATAAGTGATTTGAAAGAGGAAAATTCCATTTCTTGATACAGCAAACATTCATGTGACTTGGTTAAGCAAGGATACAAGCTCTCAACTCATCCACTGCACCAAGGATTTCCTCTCACTTTGGGAAACCACTTGGCTTTTCTGCTCTCCTGTCTCATATTCTTTACCCAGTATGGAAATTCACTTACCTTCGGGAGCCTGTAATATAAATGTGTGAAGTAGCAGATATAGATAATAGGAGCCTGTAATATAAATGTGTGAAGTAGCAGGTATAGATAATAGGAGGGCGGAGGCTGAGTCAAGTGAAGAATACATCCTCTTTCTAAACAAAGGCATCCAAGTTCAAGCAAACTAAAGCAATTCTACCTGTTGGCTAAAGTGGATTTAATATGTGTACCATGAGTTTGAGATCCCTTGTTTAATGGGCATGTACTTGCTGGATTTGATATTTCTGCCCCTAGGAAGTTATAAAGGTACTTAAATGCATGTTAGGTACAAGATCTGCTTACCTAGCATCTTCCGCCATGACATAACAAAAGTACGGGGAGCTTATTAAAGTATGTATGTTGGACCTGCCCCTCAGATCCGGAACCTGTGGGGAAGGGGAGGGCCCGGGCATCTGGATTCCAATAAGCTCCCAGGTGACACACTATAATTTGAGAGTCATTAGTTCGATAGGTCCTTTCGAAAACCATCTAAGAGTGATCTGTGTTCTGAACAGCGAAAACAAATGAAAACCAAACAAAGCCTGACTTCAAAGACCCGTGACTGTTCTCTGGGCTACAGGCCTGTTTCCTAACAGGGTACACGGTGTCTGGGACAAGGCGAGACTGTTTACCTTAGAATTATGGATCATCTTCAGGCTCCAAACTAGGTCCCTCCTGCCCTTGCAGAGCTGTCGCTCTTCCAAGGACATTAAAGCAAAGTCATCATTATGTTCCACGGAAAGATGGCCAGGGATTAGGGGAAAAAGACAGACTGTTGCTTCAGAATCGAAAGCAAGACAAGCCCATTATAGGGTTCTATAATGGCGTAGGGACTGAAAAGAACATCAGGAAAGCCCCTGCCTACGGATGCCCCATTGTTTCAGGGCTAAGTGCCGATGCAGGGAAAGAACAGGCTTCAGAAACTGACAGAGATAGGTTCACTGCTTCGCTCCGCCATTGCCTAGCTGAATGGCCTCAAGCAATTTAGTAAACCTCTTTGAGCCTAGTCTGCATAGCCGTTAGGTGGGCTAATGCCAACTAACTCTTTGGAGGGTATGGAAGAGAGTTAACTGAAATGCTATGTATACAATAAAGATGTTAAAAAAAATTTAAATTAAAAAGAAAAGAAATGCTATGTATAAAGTACGTAACACTGGTGCTGACAATAATACCATTGGATAGTTGGTAATTATCATGATAATGGATTCTCATTTAGAAAGAAAGGTATCTGCTATTTCTGCAACAAATTTTCAAGAGTTAGTAACGTCCTAGGCACCGAGCTGTCCCTCTGGTTGACATTTACCGTGCCAGGGGTTCAATATCCATTCCCATTCTTCCAGTAAAGCACCCTTCTCCCATCTCAGTCTGCAGGTTCAGGTAAGAGGAGACTCCACCACTCCTACCTTCAGAGGTGGGCATGTGACCGGGCCCAGTCAATTAGAGTGTCTCATTTCCCTGGCCACAGTGACTGGCTGAGAGATGGGCCCATGTCCTGATGAGAGCCAATGAGACTCAATGAGAGAACTTTTGTTGATTGTGTTGAAAAGAGGCAGAATCTCTGGTTGGGCTGTGGTGTCAGCCTGGCAGTGCTGGGGTCCACCTCCAAGAGACAGGAGGCCAGTGCCTCTGAGCAAGGCCACTACAGAGGACACCTTCAGGGGAAGGGAGAGAGAATGAGACGCTGAGTCCCAGACCCACCTGTGCCTCAACTACTTCCCTTAAACTTTTCACTTATACGAGCCAAGAAAAGCCTCCTTTTTGTTTGAGGTGACTTGCAGCTGAAAGATATAAATCCCTATAGTCCATTTAGCGTATTCTTACATAAAATTTTAAAGCCTAACCCCCACCCCGGTAACATAATCCAAACCTGCTGCAGCTGCCTTCTAGGTGGTTCTCGGCACAATTCCCAGCTCCATCTCTGACTTACCACTTTGAATCTTTACTATCGTATGGTCTCTTAGGTTCATGCATTCATTTATTCATTCAACAAATATTTATTGAACACTCATGATGCTCTGGGAATATAGCAGTGAACAAAACAGTCAAAAATCCCTACCACCTACAATGGAATGTTACTCAGCACTAAAAAAGAAGGAAATCCTGCCGCATGCAAACACATGGATGAACTTTGAGGATATTATGCTAAATGAATCTAGCCAGTCACTAAAGGACAAATACTGCATGATTCCACTTACATGAGGTACATAAAAGAGTCAAACACACAGAAGCAGAGAGTTGAATGGAGGTTGCCAGAGGCTGTGGGGAGGGAAAAACAGAAGGCTGTGGTTCAACAGGTATTAAATTTCAGTTATGCAAGATGATTAATTTCTAGAGATTTGCTGTACAATATTGTCTATAGTTAATATTATTGTATTGTATGCTTAAATTTTTGTTAAGAAACTAGATCTCATGTTAAATATTTTTACCACAACAAAAAACAAACATCCCTGCCATGTAGAGCCCACATTTCTAGTGGGGGGGGAGACAGAAAATCCACACAATTCTGTTAGATGGTGAAAAGTGTAAGGGAGAAAAAGAAGAGCAAAGGTCCCTATGGGGAGTGTTAGGGAGGGGTTTCAGTCTTACTTGGGACATTGGAGAAGACCTGGCGGAGAAGGTGCCATTTGAATAAAGACCCAAGGAGGTGAGGGTTCACCCTGGAGCCCTCCTTTCACCTGCACTTGCCTGTTTGAGGTTCTGACTCAGACTTCCTGCATATTCAGCCTGACAGCACCCATCCTTACAGTCTGGGGCAGTGACAGCTCTGTGCTCTTTACCTGCCTCCTGGGGCAGCTCATCCCAGCCTAGATGTGAGTGGCCCAGGGGCCCCTGCTTTCCTGGGAAGAGGCAGGAGAATCTGAGCTGTAACTCTGCAGCTTCCCAGCTGTGTCAGACCTTGGGCAAGTTATTGCCACTCTCTGATATCTATATCTATATCTGTACCTGTATCTATATATTTTTTTCAAAATAAGGATAATCAAACCTACCTAGTAACATTGTAGTGATAATCAAGTAAGCAATGTGTGAAATGCTGTCTGGATATAGTAAATACTTCAGAATTTAGTTTTATACACACACACACACACACACACACACACACACACACACACCAGCTTCCATGGTCTACTTAGGAATTGAACTCAGCACATTTTTTCCATCTTCTTCTACCAAGAGTCCTGAGATTCTACAAGATCCTCAGTCTTTGAATATATCGTCAATTAATTTTTTAAAACTATGATCTCATTAACTAAAATAAACTAAGATATTTTGGGAAGAGTATCAATTTGGCTTGAAATAAAAGGATTTCTAGTTAAGCCAATTAGCATCCCTCTTCCAAAAAAAACAAACAAACATGTTTTAAGGAGAAGACACTGCTTTTGAATTATTCCACCAACCAAAGATGGCATTCAAGGTACTCCAGCACCTGGCATAGCCTTCCTCACTCAGTCTTATTTTACACCAAGTCCCCACACATGGAATTATTACCAGGACAAATAATTTGGTGCCCACAAAACACAACAGTAATCAGTGCCTCTTCAAAGTGATGTTTTAAGACTTTTGTTATATATTCTTCTGGAGGAGAGTCAAAGCATCGCATGGTAGATGGGCCTAGAAGAGGGTGGCAAACAGGAGCAGGGTTTAGCTGCTTCCTTACTGTCTCCAGTAATTCAGCTCTGGCCCTAAATATATACTGATACATCTACTAATAAAACAAAAGCCCTGTTTCTAACCAGACCTGCCCTCTCATCCACTATCCTCATTCTCTTCAGCTGACAAACTCCTACTCAATCTTCAATTCTCAGTCTAAATATCACTTCCTCTAACCAATTCCCCTGGTCTTCATTAAAGTTCCTAATTATGTGGCCTCATGACACTTGCGTTTTGACTTTAGTCATACCTATTGCATTTATTGTTCTTTTTGTTATTGTCTGTCTTTCTCAATGATCCCCCAGAAGACACAGAGTCTGTTTGTCTTGCTCTTGGCATGGGTCCTGGAACACAGTAAACACATTGTATCAACTGATCCTGTGATTCTAGGACTCAAGGGGCAGGAGTTTGAGCCCCATGTGGTAGGATGACTGGGAAGGCGCTAGAGACCAGAATGCGGGGCTGTTGGCATGGAGGGTGGTAGAGCCCAAGGAAGAGGGTCAAAGCTGAGTCCTGAAAGGCATGACAGTTTCTGGGGTGGGAGGAGGAGGCCAGAGGAGACTGAGAAGAAGCCTCAAAGAGGAAGGAGGGAAACCAGCAGAGAGCACAGTAGAGCTGATTCTCCTTATTGGCGGCAGTTCTGTTCCATAAAGTCACCATGAACTCTGAGTGAGCACTGAACCATAGCTCCAGCGGGAAATGCAGGACACAACTGATAATCCCTTGTCTTGTGTGTGCTTCTGGTTAAAGACACCTTGGTTAACGTATTTGTTGATAGATTCACACTGAACTCACAGCCAACAGCACTACAACAACTCAGGCCTGAAGGAAGCGTATCTAACACATTCTCCCCATTAAGCACGTCAGAGCCGTCCTGTACTTAGGAACACTAGCCAGCACTTCAGCACTACGCTGGAGCGCCATTTTAAACAGCAAAATTACCGACAAAAAGAACAAAAGTTCAACAAATGTGGCAGGGGACTCACATTTTTCCCTGCTCTGTGCATGTCTGGGAATGAGTGTGAAAGTGCCCCGAGTCTGGGGGTCTCAAATAAATTTAAGCGAGTAATCTTGAAAGAATGAGAATCGATTGTACCAGATACCGAGATAAAAGACAATTGCAAAGAAGGAAGGGGTAGTAAATAGCATCAAAATTTCAAAAGAGATGAGCTGAGATGAGGCTGGAAATAGGCTTTGAATTGGAGGACAAGTTCAGTCCCTAATGAGATATATGACCTTGAGTACATCACTTAACCATTTGGGATTCATCTATACAAGGTAGAAAATTGACTGGAAGATCTCTGGTATTCCTCTGAGTACCAGCCGTCTATGAATAGTTTTCAAAAACCAGTTTAACTTATCTGATGACCATCCAGAATCATGAGGCATTCAACCAATTCCATACTTCTTCGTCAGGTGTAACATTTTTATGGAAAGGAGGTGGATTTGAGGTTTTCCCTTCAAATCCCAACAGCCAAGAAGGAGTGAATGTATCTCATAAGCAGCTCCTGGATTATGTGGAGAAGTGTGGTCTCCTGACTCAGAGATCCCCAGACACTCAGGGAAGTGGTTGAGAACAACTTTGCAGTTAAACAAGCCTGCGTTCAAAACCAGACTATGCCACCTACTAGTTCTATAACTTTGGCAAGTTACTTAATCTTTTTTAAGCTTTAGTTTTTCCACCTGAAAAATGGGGAGTTATTATTAAAACTAAATGAAATAATGTAAACTAAGCATTTAGCAAAGCCCCAGACATAGCAAGGAGATGGTAAATACGACCTATTATTACTGACTATCTCAAGAAGGACTCTTGTCTGTACCTGATTTGATGGTGTCTACCTGTCCATGCTGGGGCCACGGTGGGGACAGGGGAGAGAGGTACCATGTTCTGTGATTCCTGCTTGCCACAAGCCAAGGCCCAGCTGGGTCTAGATATGAACAAGGCCTGCACTGTTCTGGATCTTTCTACTACCAGGACTCATTCAGAGAAAGGAATTTTCTCATTTTCTCTGGAAGTCTTTCCCTTTGGAAGGTAGGCTTTTATTCAGTATACAGAGCCCTAGCATCTCCTTTATCTCCCTCATATTCTAGCAAAGCTGCTAAAATACCATCACCTCAGTGTTCTGAACAACCTGTTCCTTTCTTCTTGGGCATGTCTTTTCTCACACTCTTAACTCAGGAAGGGAGCTCAGGTCCCAAAACACTGAGTTTCTCATGGGAGCGTTTCTGTAGTTTCTGAGGACTCAAAATAGCAATGTGGTTCTCTTCCCAAATAACATATTTGACATTTGCATTTTCCTTTGACTGAAATCTGGTAGAGGAGGAGCACAGAACCCCAGATAGAAAAAAATAAACTCATCCTAAAATTGCCCTTCACATCTGGGTCAGATCAGATGAAAGTCGAACCCTGAGGCTTGGCTCTCCTGAAACCTCCAATGCTTCACTATTTCAGTAAAGCAGCCAACTCCCTCTTGAATGTAAAAGATTCTCTTTTGCCAGCTTCCCGTTCAATGTGGAGAATACCAGAGGCTATTTTACTCAGGACCGAGGCCTTTTATAATTACTTCAGACATCCCTGCGTAATTACACAACAAAGCCTGGGAGAGAGCTGGGCCCTGGCACAGAGGGTAATTTTGTTTTGAGTTGCGGTCCATTTTTTAAAATGTGTGTTATTCAAGGGAGGGTTTAAACACACACACACACACACACACACATATACATACACACACAGGGGAGATTCTCTACACCGGTAGTTTCCCTTTGGGCGAGGGAGAGGCCGGCATGCCCCCCACCCCCTGCTCCACCTCCCACCCTGAAGAGCAGACTTACTGTCGATAGTTGTAGGCAATGTCAGCAAATTCCTTCCGTCTTGCTCGGTACACAGGATCTTTAAAGCCCTAGGAAGAAAGGAGATACTTGATTTCTCCAGGCTTTCGTGGGAGAGACCTGGCATATCTATGCATGTTTTGAGTGGGGGTCCTTGAGCTCTGAGAGTGCATCTCTCCTTCCCCTGATTATACTCTGAAAATAAAGTCTCAGTTAAACTGAGGGTAAGCTCTCCCACTAAATATCGTGAGTGACGCATTACTAGCAATGCTTTCAACTCAGTGTGAGCCTCTGCCTTGGGATTCCAAAGTGCAAACAGTGTCCAGGTTTTAAAGATATCTGATCTACAGCATTCTAACTTGTAAACTTGCTAAACTCGGCAGAGTTATTAGGATGAGCGTCTATGAAGAAGATATACAATAGCTGCTAAATTCCTGACCAATGGCATGTGTCTAGCACTGCCTCCTGACTTCTTGAGAGACAAACAAGTACATGCTTACTGCTATTGCAATTTAGAAAAAAATGCCATTTATTGAGTGTCTATTATGTACTAGTCTACGCGTGCTACGAACTTATTTTATTTATAACTCTCACAACAAATGTGTAAGGTAGACCAGTATGATTATCCCTTTCTTTCCAGAATACACACTGGCTCAGAGAAGTGCAGTCCGGTGAAGTTGAAGCCAGGATTTGAATCACCCAGTTCTTGCTCTTTTCACTTCACTTCAGTAAATGTCAACCTTTACAACTTGGCAGGGGCTCAACTCACTGAGATTCTGCCTCAGTACATAGAAAGGATGATAATAATTTCTCCTCTGAGGCTGACCTGCAGGCAGCCTTTCCTCAGCAATTGGCAAGCACCACACTTCTGAGTGAAAAGAGGCCAAGTGTGTCTTTCAGTGTTGGGGGTGTGGGGGGAGGTCACATCCCTGAGATGGACATGATCCCAATTGGTTAAAAGGACATTTTCCTTATATTGTCTTCTTAGAGTTTTATTGTTTCAGGTCTTACATTTAAGTCTTTAATGCATTTCAAATTCATTTTTTGTGAGTGGTGTAAGATAGGGGTCTAATTTCATTCTTTTGCATGTTAATATCCAGTTTTCCCAACATCATTTACTGAAGAGACTATTCTTTTCTCCATTGAGTATTCTTGGCTCCCTTGTCAAATATTAGTTGACTGTATGTGCATGAGTTCATATCTAGGCTCTTGATCCTGTTCTATTAGTCTGTTTGCTTTTATGCCAGTACCATGCTGTTTTGATTACTATAGCTTTGTAATATAGTTTGAAATCAGGACATGTGATTCCTCCAGCTTTGTTCTTCTTTCTCTAGATTGCTCCTTGACATTGGTCTAGGGAATGAATTTTTGGATATGACACCAAAAGCACAAGCAACAAAAACAAAAGTAAATAAGTGGGACTACATCAAACAAAAAAGTTTCTGCACAACAAAAGAAACAACTAACAAAATGAAAAGGCAACCTATAAAATGGGAGAAAATATTTGCAAACCATACCAGATAAGGAGTTAATATCCAAAGTATATAAGGAACTCATACAACTCAATAGAAAAAAAATCAAATAATCTGATTTAGAAATAGGCAGAGGAGACATACAAATGGCCAACAGGTACATGAAAAGATGCTCAACATCACTAATCATCAGTAAAATGCAAATCAAAATCACAATGAGCTATCATCTCATACTTGTTAGAATACCTATTATCGAAAAGACGAGAGATAAGTGTTGGCAAGAATGTGGAGAAAAGGAAACCTTTGTGCACTATTGGTGGGTATGTAAACTGGTACAGCTACTTTGGGAAACAATATGGAGGTTCCTCAAAAAATTGAAAATAGAACTACCATATGATCCGGCAATATCACTTCTAGGTATATATCCAAAGGAAATAAAATCACTTCCTTGGAGAGATATCTGCACCTCTATGTTATTGAAGCCTCATTCAAATAGTCAAGACATAATAAACAACCTAAGTGTTCACTGACAGATAAATGGATAAAGAAAACGTGGTATATACAAATAATGGGATATTATTCATCCATAAAAAAGAAGGGAAACCTTCTGACAACACGGATGGAACTTGAGGACATTTTACTAAGTGAAATAAGTCAGACAGAGAAAGACAAATACTGTATGATCTCACTTATACGTGGAATCCAAAAAAGCCAAATTCATAGACAGAGAGTAGATTGGTGGTTGCCAGAGGATGGAGAGTGGGATAAACAGGGAGAGATGTTGGTTAAGGGGTCAAACCTCCAGTTACAAGATGAATAAGTTCTGGATCTAATGTACAGCACGACAATTATAGTTAACAATAGTGTTTTATATACTTGAAAATTGCTAAGAGAGTAAATCTTAAATGTTTTCACCACAGGAAAAAAACAGTAATTATGAGAAGTGATAGAGTTGTTAACTGACCTTATTATGGTAATCATTTCACAATATATACATGTATTAAATCAGCATCAAGCTTACACGATGTTGTGTCAATTATATTTCAATAAAGCTAGAAAAAAGGTCATTTTCCCCCCAAAATTGATTGTGATCTGAGTTTTAGTAAGACAAGACACTGGTGTCACCACTGTAGAACTTTGCTTTGTTCCCTCCAAGCATTTACCAATAAACCATGCCGTCCATCACTTTAGCTTGAAATTTCTCTGTCCCACCATCCCTCCAAACCAAGACATTAGTGAATCAAAAACAAAGGCTAATGTCGCGGAGAGTAATATGTAAAGACTTTTTTTAAAGCATAAATACTCCCTGACTTTCAGATATTGTTTTTTTCGTTTGTTTGATTGGTTGGTTGGTTATTTTTTTGTTTTTTTAAAATCCAGCTCGACCAATAATTCCAAAAACCCAGGGGTTCATGTATATAATGTAATTTCACCTGACAATCCATGGCATAGAGTCTGGCACACAGAAAGAACTACAAACACTTGCTGAAAGAGGAAAGGAAGAAAAGCATAAGGGGGAGGGAGGAATAAACAAAGGGAGGGAGGGAGGGAAGAAAGGAGTTCCCTATTTTGTTTCCCAGGATATATTTTGAGAAACAGAGAAATGTAAACGTTTCACACTGGAAAAGTAAAGTAAAATTACCATACTGTTTCGTTTTTTTGTTCTAAAACTAAATCCCAGATAAATTAAGTGATTATTCAATTTAGAAAAGATTCCAGGACATGGTCATTACAAAGTATAACTAGAGTGTTTTCTCTTAAGCACTGAATGGTTTTGAATAAACAGAAAAGCTTAGGAATCTGAAAACTTAAAACTGTGCTGGGCCCAGTTCTACTGGGTGAAGGTAAGTTGCTGTGGGATGTTATAGTAAGAAGATTGGGCACTATCCTTTGATTTCCAAGCAGCTCTAACACACCCTTTTAGGAACCTGTCTACTGGGCTAAATGAAGAACACATCTCCATACTTAGGACTCAGAATATAACGTTAATGTTTGTCAATCATTAATGCTTGACCTTTACAGTCATCCTCACCTACAAGTCTTATTTAACAGTCATGGCCTTCTCTAGCCCCTAAGTACAAAGCATAGACTTTTGCGCTTGTGAGGTGCCTTGGAGAATATCTATATTTGTATTTTGATCTAGACATGAAGAAAGTGAAGCCCGTAGAGCCAATTGCCCAGGGTCCCTAAACTGCAGAACCTGTACCTCCACTTGGGTTTTCTGGTCCTAGCCAGGTGGTAAGTTGAGGTTTGAGGGCTGAGACGGGTAACTAGGGAGACAAGCGAAGAATTCCCTTACCCAGTGGATTTCCACTTCATTATACTGTCTCCAGAATGGGATGCCCATGGTAATTTCTCTTCCCATTTATCTTTAATCTTCAATGTACTTTGTCTAGGCAGTTTAAAGACTTTTCCATCAGTGAAAAAAAAAAGCTTAATATAAAATTATATATCCAGTAGGTATCAACTGTGTCAGAGGGATTATATAAATAGCATAAAAATGAAATGATGGAATAAATACAACCAAATCCAACAAAAGGTATGAAAATGGGAACTGTTTTATTCTTCTGTACTGTTTAGGCTTTTGAATTTTTCTACTGTGAGTGTGGATTTCTTTTTCCTTTTTACAGTTTGAGTTTATTTTATTGTTTCACTTTATTTATTTGAAGTATAATTGATTTATAATATCATGTTAGTTTCAGGTATATAGCACAGTGGTTGTTATACATACATATACATATATATCTTTTTCAGTCTTTTCCCTTATAGGTTATGACAAAGTATTGATTATAGTTCCCTGTGCTATCCAGTAGGTCCTTGTTGGTTATCTATTCAATATATAGTAGTATGTAGATGTTAATCCCAACCTCCTAATTTATCCCTACTCCTTTTATAAATAGAAGAAAAGTAAAATAATATTAAAAATCCATCTCAGATTATTATGGGAGGTGACAGCAGATTCATACATTGGGCTATATCAACGCATCCAAATATAATATAATACAAAGATTTTCTATATGGGAAGGTTTCTAACCGTGGTCCTTTGCCAGCTCAAGTTTCTAAGAAGTTCATTATCAGCCTGCGAAGGGACCCTGCCAACTAGGCGGCACAGACTTTTGCTCTCTCAGTTAGCAGCGAAAGTCTGGGGTCCATCTCTCAGGGACTGGGTCTTGCATCCTCTGGGCTGCCAGGTGACCACGGGCCTCCGCAGACATGTGGAATACACTCTGAATTAAGCTACAGTTGGTGATGACTAACCACCCTGTCTCAATTAAGCTAATAGCAGCAATTTTGGTCGCACTGCATGTAACCAAGTATGTTTTGACAGGAAAATATATTGTTGGTGAAGGAGTGGGGAGGGGGAGGGGAAGAGAGTAGAAATGGATGGGAGAAAGGGGAGAGAATTCTACAGGGTGCGAAGTGGTAACATCACCTGCGGTCCACATGCAATCACTTTCCTTAATCTCAGCATTTGTGTTACTTGTGGTGTCGAAGTCTGTGCTTTTGCTTCAGCGGGGATTTTGGGGAGACAGTAACCATATGGAAAAGTCTTCCGAGTGAGTATTCTTCTAGACTGAGATCTTTATCATTTCTTGATA